CCCCCCCCCCCACAGCAGGACACATTGAATATACACTTGATCTTGTATATAATTCAGTTGCTGTTAATTCATAAACCAAACTGTTTTAAATCACATCATCGTGTGTTGAATTTTATGAGCGTGTTGCTGTTGATCAAAGTTTATTGGCAGAGATTGAATTTGTGTTGACTATATTGTGGGATGTGTATTTCTTTGGAAATGTATTGTATGTGAATTAGTCTAAATGACTGGAAGAAATTATAAATGGTTTAAGAGTATACTCGGACCATTATTCCACTGCTTTACCGAATAAAATGGTCTTTTTCATCCAAGACTGGTGGATATGACACATTATCTGTGTATTCACTATTCTATTGTATTCTCTCCCCTACCAGTACACAACCTTCTTTTATTTTGTTGGAGCATGCTAGTGTCTATGTAGTGCTTTCCATACAGTAGCAGCTGTGCTATATTGTACAAGATTATCAGATTTACAGTGATGTGTCTGACCTTGGAAATGCCAACGTAAAGCCACTCTGATGTATATTTAGCTGTAGATGAAGCATTTTGAAAGAAACATATACAGTGTAGTTGGATTGTCTCTCGTGCTTTATTGGTAGTGTTTTTGGGTTTTTGGGCAGTGTTCCTTTCTCCTTTAGAGATTCAATTTCCTTTTGGTTCCCTGTGTTTGACCATAGTGTTGTCATTGGTTATTGTTATACTGTGGTTCTTTGTAACTAGTAATCCACTGTGTATGAAGAGAGATGTCAGTATGTCAGTCTGTGCTTTTATATCCACATCCATGAACAATACTCGCTGCAGGGTGGGTGTAAAGCTAATAAAGTGGCTTCCATTAAACTATTCATTTTGTTTGTGTGTTCTTTCCCCTGTGATGTCTAACCTTGTGAGGCATCTAGACTCAAGAGAATCCATCTATCCAGGTTTAAATCTACGTGACTAGCTGGTACAGGAGCACCAGACCAATCTGCGACTTTGAGGAAGTGCTGGCAGCTACAGGGGTGGGTGCTAGGTGTGACGCTGCATGAAGACACTGTCCATATTTGCAAAAATGGCAACTGCTAAAGATGTTAGTGTAAATGATGCTAGCATCAATTACATCAGAACTGGAGAGTATTTCCTCACTGAAAGAAGAGCAAGGAACGGCACTAAAGGCTTTTCTGCTTCCCCCAGCTGGCTTCGTTAAGACTTTGGTCACATTACATGGTTTGTTGGATGAAGTTCACCTGTGTTAGACAGTGATAGATGATAAAAAAGTATTTTTTGAAAGTGACAACTTCCCAGATAGTTCTGTGTAACAGTCTATCCTCACACCATACAATGCCAATGTAAATCAGTCTGGATGATCAATCAGGCAGGTGTGTATATATGGGTTTCTCCATCCATCCATATTGCACATATATACAGGGCAACTTGAGAAATGGACATGACAGAGAGAGAGAATGACAGAAATGTGGCCAAATGATCATTCATCGTTCATTTAAAACAGCCCTTATTTCCATTACTACTTCGGTGTGATTTGGGTCTATATCTGCGGTTGGACATTGAACCTGATAATCATGTAAAAAAAACATCTCACAAACCATAGCTTGTTTCAATGCAAAGGAGCAGCGAGATGACCAGAGTCCTCACACTGTCCCTCAGGGTGTTGTACCTGTGAAGAGGGAGCTGAGCTGCATTCCAACTCTCGCATATGATCACAAGCTTGTCACAAACTAGCAGCATGCAGGGTGTAACCATTAAGTTAGTGGTGCTTTGATTTAAAGGACCAGTGTGTAGGATTTAGTGGCATCTATTGGTGAAGTTGCAGATTGCAACTAACTGAATACCTCTCGTGTCTGTATTTGACAACCTGGGAATTAGAACGACTGTGAAGAGTGTAGGAGAAAGGCTGTGAAAATCACAAAATATGTGAATGGCCCTATCTAAAACCAGTGTTTGGTTTGTCCATTCTGTATGTAGCCCGGTGTAAAAGTACATGGGTTAAAACAAGTTAATTTGTAGTAAAAATAATTATTTAATTTAATTAATTAAATAATTCAGTAATGCAATTAAACTGAAAGTAATTTAGGTTACAAGCAGTGAAAGATGAAAAGTTAACTGAGAAATTAAATTAAATAATATAAATTCATAATAAATAAAGTAGAGTGTAAATAGTTGATTAAGTAGTTACAATAAACTGTTCTATGTAGTAGCTGAAGAAAAAGTGTAAACTAAATTAAATAGGAATATACAGATTTGTGTCCTTGGTTCATGCTGTTTCATTTGATTGGTTGCTGTAGGTATCACTCAATTTCAACTGTTGGTAATTGGCAGTAGGTAAGGGAGTGAACGAAAAAGGGGCGGGAAAGAAAAAAGCGACAACAGGAGAGACAGTAGAATCGGGCCGCAGAGAAAAATTGCCCCAGGCCCCCTGATGAGTTGGTTAATCTGACCCTGATCAGTAACTATAGCTGTCATTAAGTGCAGTACACTATAGCTCAATGAAATGTCATGAAATACAAGTATGAAGTAGTTCCTCAAATAAAGTACCGGTACCTCAAAGCTCTACTAAACTGCACTTCACCACTGCTGTATTTTGAGTATATATCTGCTCATGCTCATGGTTTAGTCACATTTTTCTATGTAATTTCTATTTGTTTGCGTTGATATATGATGGGCAGACCTTGCTCGAGTCTTCATAAGATTAACCTGCATGCAGCTGTCAATCCCAATGAAGCCACTGGAGGGAGCCTTTGCCAACGCTGCTGAGAGCTGTTTAAAGCGTGGGACAGATCTTTCAATATGAGAGCTTTGAAGCATATGATTTCATCTGTGGTAGAAAGACTATTTTTAGAGTCTTTTCCCTCTAAAGCTGCATTGATGTTTTGATCAACATGATTTCTCTGGTAAATGAAAGAGTGAGAATAGAAAAGCAATGAGCTATCTGAATTGAATGTTTAATCAGAGAGCCAGGACAGTGGGAGAGAAGTCAGTGTTCAGCAACAACATCCTTACCGACCTGTGTTCTTCCAGCTCAGTGGATACTGCTTTGTTTGAGGATGAAGCAGCAACAGCCAAAACATTACATTTCCTTTCAGAAAACTAGTGCTATGCTATCTATCTGGTACAAGCAGTGTTTATGCAGTCCGCTCAAGGCCGCAGGCAGAGAGGCACTATAAGATGTTGTGAGTCATTTGAATACTATGGAAACCAATATCTTCCAGAGACATAGCTCAGGACAGCTGAACTAAAGCATGTCCAAAACATCTAGTCATGTATATACAGAGAGAATTCCACAGTGCTCGAGTTTCAATCTTTACTTGTTTTCTCTAAATCTCCCCACAACACAAAGGCTGTCTCTGGTGCATTGTCATATGCCTCTAACAAATGAGCTTTCTAGATAGGGGTGCAGTTAAGATACAGAGGTTACACTGCAGAGTCAGGTTCTCCGTTCTTATATTTCATAGGAGCACAAAATGTCCTCCATAACAAATTCTTGGGTCTTCTATTGAGCTTTCAAATATTGCTGTTCCTATCAGATTAAGTAAATGAATGTACCTAAAAATGGATTTTGGATTAGTTCACTTCTAATGGGTGTGATAGTATGTGCTCAAATAAGAATCCATAACATTTTAGACTATCAGAGATTTTTGAGAACAAAGTCATAATTGTAATTTTATGAGTCATATATATTCAATAATTCAAGAAAGTACCCATCCAGTCAGTCAGCTGAAGCCACCAGTGCACATCCACTGAGAATGGACTTTACAGT